GTTTAACCTGTTTAGTACTCTATTCTGCTCAGCAGCAGTTATAGTAATCAACCCTCTAAATATTCATTATTTATCTATCATGGGTATAACTTTGAACTCGACGTTAGAGAAGCCATAGGGATGAATCAAACCCTACACCAGGATATCCAATCTTCTGGCTTCCGTGGGCCACAGCGGAGGAAGAAGACTGTTTTGGGCCACACTTGCATCATACTTTTATAGCACTATCACACCTATTATCTCAATTTTTTGCTGGGTTTAAACAGTTTATCTCTATCTTGCCATCCAACTTAATGGCTCAATTTAACATTATTATACTTTGTAGCATTATTTTGAATTGAAAGAAGGTCAACATATCTATAACATTGGTGTAAGTTTAAGAGAATTTTAATAAGGGCTTAAAAATCACTTTTGTCCTCCTTCTTAAGTAGTATTTTTATGTATTGCTTAAAGTTTTATGAGGGTATAAACTATAAAATACACTGGAATGTATTAACAATAGCTGATGAGCTTTAAAAAAAAAATCTCTTAATGTTTTAAGAAAGTTTACGAATTTGTGTTGGGCTGAATTCACAGTCGTCCTGGGCCACATGCAGCCTGTGTAAAGTGACACTATACTAGTTTATCTATGGTAATGCACCCACAGCTGTAATCCACGACAGAATGGGCCAGGTTCCATGGAAGACACAGAGCTGTATTTAACAAGCATGAAGAAGTGGCAGGCAAGAGTTTAAGCCAAGAGATCAGGAAAGCTTCCCATTAGTAGTTATGGGCAATACAGGAGGTAATAACAAAGGCTTATAGGTAGGAAAGCACTTGAGAAGTTCTCAGAATTGGACAAGTTAGATTTTTGCAAGATTGTAGAATGTATGAGGGGAGTGGTGGAAGGAAAGAGTAGAAAGAGTGATTTGGTCATGCTTGGGAGTGTGCACTTCATTCTTGCAGAGAGCAATGGGGAGCTTTGGCATTTTAACACTTTAGAAGCTTAAGAAACCTTAGCCTTCAGCTCTATTATGGAGAGACAAAAACTGAACCTCAGAAAGGTCAAGTGGCTTGAAAAGAATTACAAAATTCACAAACAGGGGTCAAGAACTAAGTTCCTCCCTCCCAGCAATAACAGGATCAGATATATGATTTAGAAAACTTATTTTAGCAGCAATGTGCAATACAGACTAGAGAGAAAAGAAATTACCTATAGTTTAGTTTAGGTATAAAGAGAAACTGGATGTAAATTAGAATTGTTCTATTAAGAAGATACAATCATAATGTGTTTTTAAAATCTTATTCATCAAATTAGTCTTTTATACACTGACCTGGGGAAAAAAAGGAAAAGAGAAATTAAAAAAAAAAATTTATTCACTGTGATGTGCCAGACTCAAATGTAAACTTGGCGGTAGAAAAATCCCCTACCTTGGCTATAGGACTTCAGTGGAGGAGACAACAAGAAAACAGTTTTGTGTCAGCTACATCAATAATATACATTGCCACTTGTGCCAGTTCAACTCTTCATGAAGAGTGGTGAATCACTGACATGAATGTTGGAGGTAATTTCAAAAACTGTGAATGGGAAAGGCAGTTTTTCAAAGAAAGCAAATTTCACTGAAACCTGTGATCAAATGGTATTTCTATAATAACAACTAAGAGCAAGATTTTCCTAAATGCCTACATTTCATTGTATTACCTACATAATGGAATAATCTAACACACAATGCTATGGAAACACAGGTGAAGCACATGATTATAAAACAGACAAGGCTGATTTTTATGTGTGGTTTGTGGAAAGCAGCCTTGTCATCATCACTAGCAGGCCCACCCCAAGAAATGCCAAACTGAATCTGTGAAACCTAAAATAAAAGAGCATAACATAATACTTGTCCTCCTTGATAATCACCTTGAAATGTTTAGATTCACCCTATTTTCCTTTAATACTCTGCCTGGATTGATCATCCAAGAAATTATCTTAAGATCTTCTGTATCTGTATTTTCTAATGACACTTGCATTGTACTTTTACAGTGCTGTCACACCTATTATCTCAATTTTTGCTGGGTTTAAACAGTTTATCTATATCTTGCCATCCAACTTAATGGCTCAATTTAACATTATTATACTTTGAAGCATTATTTTGAAGTGAAGGAAAGTTAACCTATATATAACACTGATCTAAGTTTAAGATATTTTAATAAGGGCTTAAAAAAATCACTTTTGTCCCCTTTCTTATATAGTACATTTTTATGTACTGCTTAAAGTTTTATGAAGGTACAGACTATAACACTGTGTCCTCCAGAGTGCCCATACCACAGGGGTGCCCAAAAGGCTTGCTCAAGTCATGAAATGAGCAGTGATAACAGGTCAACTTTGGGTGCAGCTGTGTGGTACAAAGATCACCAGAGCTGATTTGGCCTATCAGGATGCTTAGGCAATCTACTGTGTAGGTTTATCTTTCTCTGCTGGCCTCTTAGATGTTGATATTCACCAGGCTTCAGGCACAGACCTTCCCTTCACATTCTACACACCACCTAAGCAGACTGCTCCACTCGCATAGCCTTACCTCCTTTTATGTGTGTGGATAACACCCAAATCATTGTGTTTGACTTCATTCCAAATCTATAAATTATATATTTTACTACTAATTCCATTCCTATGTTTGATTAACCTCAACACAACAAGCCCCAAATTGGATGCCATCATCATCCCTTGAACCCCTGCTCCTTGTGAGGTGTTGCTATATCAGTAAATAGCCCCACCCCACTGCTTCACAGTGAAACCCAGGTAAACCTCATTTCCTCTTTTACCTACCCACATTGAATCAATCACCAATTCCTAGTGATTCTACCACCAAAATTGTGTCTTCAACTTACCTACTTCTCTTACCTATTTAGTTATCATCATAACTCACAAGAATTACTCCTAACTAGTAAACTTTTGCCTCCAATCTACCGTATAGCCAGAATTATCTTTCCAAAATGTAAATCTGCTTAAAAACCCTTAGATGGCTTCCTACTATTCTTAGGACAATGCCAAACCTCTTGTCATAGGCTACAAGGTCCTTCAAGAGATGGAAACTACCTTGTAAGTTATCCTGTACTACGGCAAAATGAATGAAGCGCACAGTCCAGAGGAGCCAGACTGGCCTCTTGCTTACTAGCTGTCTCATAATAGGCATATTACTTGATTTCTTTGTCCCTCAGTGTCCTCATCTGTAAAATGAGAATATTAATACTCATTTCACAGTGCAGTTGTGAATGTTAAATGAGATAGAATACAATGTTTAATGCAGTATGACACATTTGAAACATATTAGTAAATATTAGCTACAGTTACTATCGCTCTACTTAATTTCTCACTTATCTCTCATTTGCATCTGTGTTTCATCTACAGAAAGCATCTTTCATTTCCTCTTCTCACATATTTCCTCTTCCTTTACATATCCAGTTCCTCCAACTACAGTCTCCTCTCCCTCCAAACCACTCCTTCTATAATTTAGATCTCCTCCTAAAGGCTACATCCTCTGGAGTCCTTCTGCCCATCCTCTATGTGTTTGGTGCCCTTACTATGTGCTTCCTAAGTTCTTGTATTTTCCTTGCCATGGCAGTTGTTCTATTTTCTGTAAATTTCTCTCTCTTCGCTGCTAAATTCTAAGTTCTGTGTGAAGTGTAGCCATGTCTACCTTGCTCACGATTGTATTTTCAATGCCTCCAGTGCCTGGCACACAATAGGCACTTAATAGAGTGTACACTTCCTCTCTCACAGCTCCAGATGTACTCCTCCCCAAACTGCAGTTGGTACAAAAGCCAATGTTCCCATAACAGGTATCTGTAGAATGAGGTTCAAAAAGGCTGCCACAGAACAAAGATTATCTGGTCAAATAATACTGGGAAAGGTAGGTTTAAACAGGGCTCTGAACCATGGTAATTTTCAGAATCCTTTCTATTACTAAAGTGCACTGTGAATTTCCAAGTTGCGGGGGATAGGGTGGAGGAGTGTATATTCCTGAAAATATCTCCTGCAACCAGTGTTCGCAAAGCCGGTTTAAGGAGATGCACTCCCCTACTAGAACTTCCAAGTAAGCTAGTAGTTGAGGACGAGAAAATCTTTTAATTATTCTGCGAGTTCACCATTTTTAGGGCAGTAACTTCTGGACACAGAATTTGAGACTCAGAAGAAATCTTATACATCATTCAACAAAGCTCCATGTTTTTATAAGAAAACTGAGGCCCAGAAGCACAAAGAGACCAATCTGTGGCCACAGAGCAGCTACCTACAACAGGAAAGGCTAGGAGTAGAACCCAGACACCCGGCAGGTCCTAGCGACTTCTAAGACAAACGATGGCTCCGGTTACCTGAGTCGGCCAAGTGTTTCCACTTCAAATTCTATTTTAAAGCCATACCACAGTTAAGGTAGTTTTTCTTGGCCGCCTGCCCCCTTAGGCCTACAATTACAGTCTCTCCCTTCTCCCTCCCTTCCACGATATACTTTCCCTGTAATCCCATGCAGTTGCGGGGGGAGGAAGATAGTTACTTTCTTTCCTTCAGAGTTTTTCTTTGGACTGTAAACTTTTTCACGTAAACAAAACAAACTCATGAATTTTAAGGCCTCCACCTAAATCCCCATGGGCGCTGCTCCCTACATCCTGCACCCTACCCTATCCTCCCTTGCGCTCCCTTCCGAGCTCGGACGCAGTGGCTCCTTACCTGGGACCGCCATGACGGTGGTGACAGGGGTCACTGCAGCCTCCGGCTTTCGAAAAGGCGCTTGCTTCCCGCCAGCTGCGAGGACAAGGCACAGCCAAAGCGGCGTTTGCCTTCCCCAGAGCGGCAGCACCTTCGCTACAGTCGGAAGGCCCTGTAAGCCTCTAGCGACAACAGAACCAGTAGACGCAGATGCGGTTTCCGGACGAGTCATATTGCAGAAGACACATGGTCCGGACCATTACTGTTAGTTTTGGGGGGTGCTGAGTGCGATCTGCACACGCAAGTAGTGAAGTAAACACCGCCAAAACTTACGAAGTGCCTCTTCTAATGTTGTAATACAAATTACATTAAGCCATAGTAGCTTTACAGACTTTTTTTTGTACCCAGGAGTACATTGGAATCACCCTTCTCAGCATTAGCGGTGCTCGGGTCCGATAACAACATGGCGGCGTCCGAGAGGGGTTGTTTTGGGCAAAGGTAGTGTTTGGTGTTCCTGTCTTGCGTGATGTTGACAAACTGAAGCTTTCCTGGACCACTCGACTTAACGAAGAGTGTGCTCGTAGGCGGACAGCTTTCGTGACCCGCCGTCCACTCTCATCCCCCATAAGGAGCAGAGTCCTTAGTACTGATCGCGATGAGCAACATCTACATCCAGGAGCCTCCCACGAATGGGAAGGTGAGAGCTTCATCTAGGGAACTTGGGGCCCTGAGATCCCCAAAATGAGATTTCCCGGATTTGGGGTGGGGAATGGGTTCAGGGATCTTGTGGTAGGAAGAGACCACGAGAAGTGTTGTCTTTACTTCTTCCTGTGGACAATGTTGCATCGAAACACTGAAGCTGGTACTTCTCAGCATGTACTTGAAAAAGTCAAGTGGAGATTTCCCTATCCAGCAGCGTTCCGGTCATATTTTCTGCCTTAACCCAACTCACGCAGCCTATATCTAGGGCCTTAAGTTTTTAAAAGTACATTTTTGAGTTTGATATATTCTTTGCTTAACTTGGAGGTCATTAATTCTCCATTTCTTCTACAGTCATTAATTGAACGCCTGCTAGCCACTGGGCACTGTACTAGGCGCCGGAGATACAAAGAGGCATAGGTAAGGTAGTTTTCCAGGAAGAGCTTACAGTTTAGAGACAGGCAGGTAAACAAAAGCCTTGTATGTCTGATAAGAGTGCTTGTAGAGAAGAGACCATGTTACTATGGTAATACTGAGTAGTGAACAATTGGGAAAGTTAGGAAAAGCATCATGGAGAAGCTATCTTTTGAGCTGGTTTTAAAACCTGAGATGACTGTCATTCAGAGAAAGGGGGAAATGGGGAATATTACCACATTAGAATGGAAAAATGTTTCTCTGATTGATTTAATGGCTAATGTATGCCAATTCCCATCCAAGGTGTTTGTATACAGTACAAGGCAGAAGAGTCAGTTGTAGAATAAGTATCACCTGAATTTTTATTTATTTATATATTTAAAGTATTTATTTTATTGCATTTTAGGTTTTGGGGTACATGTGAAGAACATGCAAGATAGTTGCATAGGTGCACAGCAGTGTGATTTGCTGCCTTCCTCCCCTTCACCTATATCTGGCATTTCTCCCCATGCTATCTCTCCCCAACTCCCCACCCCCCGCTGTCCCTCCCCTATTTTCCCCAATAGACCCCAGTGTGTAGTGCTCCCCTCCCTGTGTCCATGTGTTCTCATTGTCCAACACCCCCCTATGAGTGAGAACATTCGGTATTTCGTTTTCTGTTCTTGTGTAAGCTTGCTGAGAATGATGTTCTCCAGGTTCATCCATGTCCCTGCAAAGGACACGAACTCATCATTTCTGATTGCTGCATAATATTCCATGGTGTATATGTGCCACATTTTCCCTGTCCAGTCTATCATCCATGGGCATTTGGGTTGATTCCAGGTCTTTGCTATTGTAAACAGTGCTGCAGTGACCATTCGTGTGCATGTGTCCTTATAGTAGAACGATTTATATTCCTTTGGATATATACCCAGTAATGGGATTGCTCGGTCAAATGGAATTTCTATTTCTAGGTCCTTGAGGAATCGCCACATTGTCTTCCACAATGGTTGAACTAATTTACACTCCCAACAGCACTGTAAAAGTGTTCCTATTTCTCCACATCCTCTCCAGCATCTGTTGTCTCCAGATTTTTTAATGATCGCCATTCTAACTGGCGTGAGATGGTATCTCAATGTAGTTTTGATTTGCATTTCTCTAATAACCAGTGATGATGAGCATTTTTTCATGTTTGTTGGCCACATGTATGTCTTCTTTTGTAAAGTGTCTGTTCATATCCTTCACTTCCTTTTGAATGGGCTTATTTGTTTTTTTCTTGTAAATCTGTTTTAGTTCTTTGTAAATTCTGGATATCAGCCCTTTATCAGATGGGTAAACTGCAAAAATTTTTTCCCATTCTGTTGGTTGCCTATTCAATCTAATGACTGTTTTTTTTTGCCGTGCAGAAACTATGGAGTTTGATTAGGTCCCATTTTTCTATTTTGGCTTTTGTTGCCAATGCTTTTGGTGTTTTGGTCATGAAGTCCTTGCCTACTCCTATGTCCTGAATTTCGCCTAGATTTTCTTCTAGTGTTTTTATGGTGTTAGGTCTTATGTTTGTCTTTAATCCATCTGGAGTTAATTTTAGTGTAAGGTGTCAGGAAGGGGTCCAGTTTCTGCTTTCTGCACATAGCTAGCTACTTTTCCCAACACCATTTATTAAACAGGGAATCCTTTCCCCATTGCTTCTTTTTGTCAGGTTTATCAAAGATTGTATGGTTGTAGATTTGTTGTGTTGCCTCCGAGGCCTCTGTTTTGTTCCATTGGTCTATATCGCTGTTTTGGTACCAATACCATGCTGTTTTGATTACTGTAGCCTTGTAGTATAGTTTGAAGTCCAGTAGGGTGATGCCTCCCGCTGTGTTCTTTTTACTCAGAATTGACTTGGCTATGCGGACTCTCATTTGGTTCCATATGAAGTTTAAGGTGGTTTTTTCCAGTTCTGTGAATAAGCTCATTGGTAGTTTGATGGGGATAACGTTGAATCTGTAAATTACTTTGGGCATATGGCCATTTTCATGATATTGATTCTTCCTAACCATGAACATGGAATGTTTCTCCATATGTTTGTGTCCTCTCTTATTTCGTTGAGCAGTGGTTTGTAGTTCTCCTTGAAGAGGTCTTTACGTTCCTTGTTAGTTGTATTCCTAGGTATTTTATTCTCTTTGTAGCAACTGTGAATGGCAGTTTGTTCTTGATTTGGCTCTCTTTAAGTCTGTTATTGGTGTATAGGAATGCTTGTGATTTTTGCACATTGATTTTGTATCCTGAGACATTGCTGAAGTTGCTTATCAGTTTCAGGAGATTTTGGGCTGAGATGATGGGGTCCTCTAGATACACAATCATGTCGTCTGCAAATAGAGACAATTTGACTTCTTCCTTTCCTAGTTGAACACCCTTTATTTCTTTTTCTTGCCTCATTGCTCTGGCTAGAACTTCCAGTACTATATTGAATAGAAGTGGGGAGAGAGAGCATCCTTGTCTAGTGCCAGATTTCCAAGGGAATGCTTCCAGTTTTTGTCCATTCAGTATGATATTGGCTGTTGGTTTGTCATAAATAGCTTTTATTACTTTGAGATACGTTCCATCAATACTGAGTTTATTGAGGGTTTTTAGCATAAAAGGCTGTTGAATTTTGTCAAATGCCTTCTCTGTGTCAATTGAGATAATCATGTGGTTTTTGTTTTTGGTTCTGTTTATGTGGTGAATTACGTTTATAGACTTGCATATGTTGAACCAGCCTTGCATCCCCGGGATGAATCCTACTTGATCATGATGGATAAGTTTTTTGATGTGCTGTTGCAGTTGGTTTGCCAGTATTTTATTGAAGATTTTTGCATCTATGTTCATCATGGATATTGACCTGAAGTTTTCTTTTCTTGTTGAGTCTCTGCCAGGTTCTGGTATCAGGATGATGTTGGTCTCATAAAATGATTTGGGAAAGAGTTCCTCTTTTTGGATTATTTGGAATAGTTTCAGAAGGAATGGTAACAGTTCTTCTTTGTGTGTCTGGTAGCATTCGGTTGTGAACCCATCTGGACCGGGGCTTTTTTTGTGTGGTATGCTCTTAATTGCTGCCTCAACTTCAGATCTTGTTATTTGTCTATTCATGGTTTCAACTTCTTCCTGGTTTAGGCTTCGGAGGAGGCAAGTGTCCAGGAATTTATCCATTTCTTCCAGGTTTACTAGTTTATGTGCATAGAGTTGTTTGTAATATTCTCTGATGATGGTTTGAATTTCTGTGGGATCTGCGATGATTTCCCCTTTATCATTTTTTATTGCATCTATTTGCTTATTCTCTCTTTCTTTTTTATTAATCTGGCTAGTGGTCTGTCTATTTTGTTGATCTTTTCAAAAAACCAGCTCCTGGATTTATTGATTTTTTAAAGGGTTTTTCATGTCTCTATCTCCTTCAGTTCTGCTCTGATCTTAGGTATTTCTTGTCTTCTACTAGGTTTTGAGTTTTTTTGATCTTGCTCCTCTAGCTCTTTCAGTTTTGATGATAAGGTGTCAATTTTGGATCTCTCCTTTATTCTCATGTGGGCACTTATTGCTATATATTTTCCTCTAGAGACTGCTTTAAATGTGTCCCAGAGATTCTGGTATGTTGTGTCTTCGTTCTCGTTGGTTTCGAAGAACTTCTTTATTTCTGCCTTCATTTGATTGTTTATCCAGTCAACATTCAAGAGCCAGTTGTTCAGTTTCCATGAAGCTGTGCGGTTCTGAGTTAGTTTCTGAATTCTGAGTTCTAACGTGATTGCACTATGGTCTGAGAGACTGTTTGTTATGATTTCAGTTGTTTTGCATTTGCTGAGGAGTGCTTTACTTCCAATTATGTGGTCAATTTTAGAGTAGGTGTGATGTGGTGCTGAGAAGAATGTATATTCTGTGGATTTGGCGTGAAGAGTTCTGTAAATGTCTATCAGGTTTGCTTGGTCCAGGCTTGTGTTCAAGTCCTGGATATCCTTGTTAATTTTCTGTCTGGTTGATCTGTCTAATATTGACAGTGGAGTGTTAAAGTCTCCCACTATTATTGTGTGGGAGTCTAAGTCTCTTTGTAAGTCATTAAGAACTTGCCTTATGTATCTGGGTGCTCCTGTATTGGGTCCATATATATTTAGGATCGTTAGCTCTTCTTGTTGTATTGATCCTTTTACCATTATGTAATGTCCTTTGTCTCTTTTGATTTTTGTTGCTTTAAAGTCTATTTTATCAGAGACGAGAATTGCAACTCCTGCTTTTTTTTGCTCTCCATTTGCTTGGTAAATCTTCCTCCATCCTGTTATTTTGAGCCTTTATGTATCCTTGCATGTGAGATGGGTTTCCTGGATACAGCACACCGATGGGTTTTGGCTTTTTATCCAATTTGCCAGTCTGTGTCTTTTGATTAGTGCATTTAGCCCATTTACATTTAGGGTTAATATTGTTATGTGTGAATTTGATACTGCCATTTTGATGCTCGCTGGCTGTTTTGCCCGTTAGTTGATGCAGATTCTTCATTTTGTTGATGCTTTTTACCATTTGGTATGTTTTTGGAGTGGCTGGTACTGGTTCTTCCTTTCTATGTGTAGTGCCTCTTTCAGGAGCTCTTGTAAAGCAGGCATG